CAGCGGGGGGCAGAGCAGGGGGCGCGGGGCAGGCTGGCACACGCAGGTGGCGGGGATGGAGCCGGAGGCATGCCCTCCTCGCCCGGGCGGCCGTGCCCTCCCCTGTGCCCGCCGCAGCGGAGTGGGCTGCAGACTCCCAGGCTCAAGGGTGCTGGCAGCAGCCCACTTACCTGGGGGACGAAGTGGTAGAAGGTGGAGGTGTTCAGGTGGAAAAAGCCCTCTTTGGGAAACTGCAGCAGGAGAAAGCTTCAGTTCACTGTGGGAACAGCACACGGCGCAGCCACGGGGCTCGTGCCAGCCCGCGCGCCCCGCAGCCGGGGCTGGGACACCTGTCACCGCAGCCGGACGTCCGCACCGGTTTGCGCCGGGCTGCAAACCGGTGCCGCTCACCCCCCCACGAAGCAGCCCGGCATCCTCCCCCCGGCCTGAGCGGTGACGGGAATCCTGTCTGCCCGCACCGGCCTCTTTCCCCCGTGCCCACCCATGCTGGAGTTTGCGGCGGTGGAGACAGGTTGGCAATGCAATGCCCTGTCTGAGGGGTCGGCGCACACGAGCCCCGACCCAAAATGAGCGCCCTCGGAGACGCCAGGCAGGGTCCTCTGTGCTATCAGCCCGCGCCTGCCTCTTTCCTCCGCTGCCTGCATTCGAGCGGCTGCGCGAGGAGCGTCTCCTCCATCCCACCCCCGGCAAGCCGGCGCTCGCCACCCCTCCCCGGGACAGGAGGGAAGTGTCACCAGCCGCGGCACGGTGCAGACACCGTGGCCCAGCAGGTCTCGTGCCCTCCCCGCCTGCGCCCCGTACCACGTCGTCGGTGATGCTGAAGACCAGGCGCCCGGCGGCCTGGTAGACAAAGCTGGCGGTGTTGAAGACGTAGCTGGAGACCCCCAGGTAAACCATGCGGCTGTGCTCCAGCGGGAAGGCCAGGGCGGGGGGAGAGAAGGGGGCCGGCGCGCGGTGAGCCCGGGAGAAGATCTCGCCCTAGGGAAGACGAGAACGAAGAGCGACCCGTGCCAGGCGCTGGCACTTGCGGGGTGGCCACGGGCCCCGGGTTTGTGCAGCATCTTCCCCTCCGTCCTCCCGGCCTGGGCAGCTGCGGGGTCTGGGGCTGTAGCCACAGGCAGCCCCAAAGGGTTGACGTGAGGCAGGGATGCCGATGGGAAGCGCAAGTCCAACCCTGCCCGTCCCCCGGGCACCTCGTACCTTCAGACTCACGTCCAGATACTGGGCCGTTGCCACGGGGGGGGCCACCAGGGAGTAGTCGACGCTGGCCACCGTGTCTATCGCTGCTATGACTGGGAAACAGGGGAGACAACGGACCCTGCAGGGAATCGGGCCCCTCCCGGCGCCCAGGAGGAGACACCCACCAGCTCCCGGCTACGTGGCACCGGTGCCCGGCGCTCCCCCACGGCCCACGTGGAAGTGCCTGTCCCAGCGGCACGGGGCTTTGCAGCCGCTGTTCCCAATGGGCCCGCTTCAGCAGCAGGAAGCCGGGGGGTCTCTAGGTCCCAGCTGACCCTAGACCCCCGAGCCCTTCGTGCTTGGGAAAACTCCCGTGCAACATCCGTGAGATGCTCCAGGGAGCTGCCCACGACGTGGCTCCGCTCGCCCCTCACGCCCAGGGGCTGCAAGGAGGGCAGGGCAGGGCAGGGCAGGGCCCTGGCCAAGGGGAGCACTCGTGCACAGCCACAGCAATCGCCGCGCGGTACCTGGCAGCGCGCAGAGGTAGGGCTGCAGCTGGGTGCTGACGAAGCTCCTCACCTCTCTGCAGACCTGCGGGAAACAAAGTGGAGACCCCCGGCCTCGCATCCAGAGAGGCTGCAGCTCGCGCCAGCTCGCTTTGTAGTAACTATTGCTTGCAGCAAGGCATCTCCTTGGCCTGCGATGGCTGGAGACACGGGGCAGGCCCGCGGCTGGCTGAGTCCCATCACACCGCAGAGAAGCCCCTGGGACGACCCAGCCCTGCAGAGAGGGGCGCGGGGAGGGAGGCCGAGCAGAGGGTGGCTCAGCGCGACGGGAAGGAGGAAGGCCTCGAAAAGCTGCTCGGACGGTCGTGTTCCCGGGTGCAGAGCGAGAGCCCAGGGGGGACAAAGCAGCTCAACGCCGTTCCCGGGACGGACAGGCGCGAGCTGGACGCTGCAGCCAGGGGTGGGGGATCGGCCTGGTGGCACCGGGTGGAAGGGACGTGGATGCCCTCCTCATCCTCCCGTCCGGGAGGGCCCTGGCTCCGAGCCGCCCCGGGGCCGGCACGTCTGCTCGGGGGCTCCCCGGGGCCCTGGGAAAGCCACTAGATGGCACCAGCCGTAGCGCGATGCCGCCGGCCCCGCGTTTTCCAGCTGCTGCATAAATGGGCTGGCTGCGCTCGCCAATCGCCGCCTTCCTGCACGGGTTCGCATCCAGAGAGGTTGCAGCTCGTGCCAGTTCGCCTTGTAGTAATTATTGCTAACAGCTTGTTTCCATGTCCTGTTGCAGGTCTCCTGCATGTAGGCTTTTGTACGGTGCCGTAGGTACGAGGGTTTCCCTGACGGGCCCCATTAAAACAAGGCAGCAAGCGCCTGAGACGCCAGACGCGAGCGTTTGTACCCAAAGCTCCCCCCTCCCCAAAAGCCAACAGGAGTGGCAGGCCGCTGGCTGGTCTTTGGGGTTGCTATGCTTTTGGCTCAGGTGCGAGGTCTAATTAGCTGATTGCACGGAAGGAGCGGTCTTCGTTAATTGGGAATCAGTTACAGCAGGCGCTTGCAAGCACTGCGGATTTAGCGTTGGAGGTGACCCGCCGCAAGGCCAAGGTGACTGCGTTGGTCCATCCAGCGTCCCCCCCGCAAGTCACCGCTGCACTGAGCAGCTGCAGTCAACCCGCAGGACACCGAACGCATTCGTGACTGGTAAGGGCAAGGGCCCCCGCCCCAGCGCACCATACCTGGCTTTGCATCAGTGCCTTGATGCGCGACTTAATTATCTTGATGATCAGCTTGTAAATCCAGCTAAGGAGAGAGCACGAGAGAGTCACCTTTCTCCAGCCGCAGGACGGTGTCTTCCCACCAGCAAGGCACGCTTCTCCGTATCGGCCTGCGGTCAAAGCTTGGCTGCCCCATTTTGTCTTAGATGTTGCATTGGCAAAGAGCCGGCCTGGTCAAAGCGGTGCCCCCGGACTGCAAGCACCCGCCTCGCAGGCCGAATTCGAACCCAGCGCAGCCATGTGCAACCGCCTCCTCTTGCACCAGCTCTGCCTTTTATTAGCTTCCCCCTGACCAGCCCATCGCCCCGGGGAGATCAGGGGATGTCTGATCATCAGGGGCAGCAATAATGCCTTAGGGCCAATATAAGGGCACAGTACAGGGCTGCCTTATCCACGTCCCCCCTCCAGCCTTTCCAAGGGAAGCCGCATGGGGGGGGCCAGCGGGATCCAGGCCAAGAGGAGGAGGCAGCAAGCCACGACCAGGCGCAGGCGGCTGATCCGTGTCCCCCGGGAGACGGGCTCCAACGCACGGCCCCCGAACCCGGCCACGGAAGGGCAGCTACATACCCAGCATCCACGTCGACATCCGAAATGTAGGTGGTGCAGCCGGAGATGGTCACGGTGGGTTTCCCAGAGGCGTCGCTCCCCAGCTGCAGCCTGACAGAGATGCTGAGACCAGTGACCTTCAGGTTAAATTGGCCGTCGTCCCCACTAACGGGAGGAGGGGACAGGGAGTCAGGGGCACTCCTAAGACCCCGCGATGGAGACGGCTGGCGCGCTCCCTCCCTTCCCAGCGGGATTGCTCCGGCTCGCTGGGCGTCCCTATGGCGGGGGCGCATCCAGGAGGCTTTGTCACATCAAGCTGCCTTTTCTGCCCCTTCCTTTATGATCGGAGGAATGACGGATTGGGAGATAACCCTGACAGTCCTCAACGCTGGGCCCTGGACGGGGTGTGTGGAGGGACTGGCCCTGTCTGCACTGTCCCCCATTGCTTCAGGCTGGACTCTGTGCTGCTCACTACCCCCAGCAGCTGTTCGTATAGAGGCAGGAGAGATTGCAGCAAAAGCAGCCCCCTGCAACCCGCACGGCCGGGGGGAGCCGAGCTGCAGAGCCGGCGGAGGCAAAGGCCCGAACGCCTTCCAGGAGACGAAGCGGTTTGCACGGGGGCGAGGGCACGCAGGAGCCCCGGGGCACTCACAAGAGCCCTCTCTTCCACCTCCAGTTCCCCGTCAGCTGGGCGAAGGCATTGGAGACGGACACCTGGACGCCCACGTCGGGGAGGGGGGTGATCTGGGAGCTCGGCAGCCGGAAGCTGCGCAGGTTCAAGCTGCAAAGGAGCGAGGCGCTGTCAGCTGGAGCCCAGGGTGGGCCCGGATGGACCGGCATCCTTGTCCCCCCCCGGCGCCACATCGCAGCCCTGCTCGTGTGCGCGTCACCCCTCCTTGCCCATGCTGCCTCCCCGCGAGCGGCAGCCATCCCGCCGTCACCCGCTCGTCTCTGGAGGGCTTCTCCCAGCTCTCGGGACAGGCGTCTTCCTCTCGCCATGCCCGAGGTGTCTGGTCCCGCTCTGCCTCCCTCCCAAACCTCCTCCAGCCTCCCCAGGGGAAGCAGGCAGCCGTCTCACCGGGAGAATTCATAGTACACGTCTCCTACAGGTGTCTCCTGGGACCCCGAGATGTCCGGCAGCTTCATCTCGGCCAGTTTCTTCTCCAGGGCAGCGATGCCCTTCTGGAGGGCTGCGGGGGCGGAAAGGACACGTCGCTGCCTGGCCCTTGCAATGGAGCCGGGGCTGCTTGAGGCAACCCTGTTCCTGGACGCCATGGCCGGTCCGCACGGCCTCGGTCCTGGTACAGCCAACCTCGGGCACGAGGACCCCACTCTGCAAAATGGGCTGAGGCTGGGGGGCCTCAACCCAGACAGAGACCCTTTGCCTGCCGTCCTAGGGGCAGCCTCCTTGTCCCATTTGGGGCTGGCTGTTTGACCGGTCAAGTAGAGTTTGGTCAATTGACAAGATTTGGCCGGTCAGCTGCCCGGCTAGCCCGCCCTAGTCGCATCGTAACACGAAGGCATGGCGGGCGAGGCAGCCGGGTGGGGAGGCCAGTGGGGGCAAGACGCCGGGGTCCAGCAGCAGCCGGGGCAAGGTGACTTTGCAGCTCAACCCCCGGGTGCATTAAAGACAGAGACAGAAAGATGGACTGGGAACCTACCATAGTCCAGGCCCGGACCGGTGATTCTAGCCACGATCCCGGGCTTGGTGGCCCTGGCTAGCGTGATGGAGACCGCCAAGAGGAGGGCAGCCGGCGCCAGGCTCTGCACCGCCATCCCGAGAGCCGCGCGGAGCCGTGCCGAGCGGACTGAGGGGTTCCCTACCCTCCAGCCCTCGTGGCGTAACCCAGGCGTTTCCAGCCCGTCTGAAAAGGGAAACTGAGGTGGGGCGGGTGGGGAGGAAGCAGAAAGTTGCTCGAGCATCTTCAAGGAGCCGCGGAGGGAGGAGCTGCGGCTGCGACCGTTTCCTTTCTGCAACCCACAGACGTTGCTCCCCGGGCAGAGCTCAGCGCTGCACTAAATGCTGCAGGGACTCGGACGGGGCCGGGGTCCCTCTGTGCAGAGGCGCGTGTCCCCACCGGGCCGCGCATGTCCCAGCCGTGGACCCACGAAATGCAGGGCTGCCCAGGTGAACGCACGCTGCCGCCTTCCTGGCGTCCCAGAGTACCCCCGCCCCAAAAGAAGACATTTGTGCAAGAAAGCAATTGCCCAAGAGCCGGTAGCTGTGTGTGCGCGGGGTGAAGGGTGGTGCCAGGCTGGACACGATTACTGCACAACACGCGCAGAGGAGGAATCATCTGCACAGTCCTGCACGGCATCAGAAAACACAGAAAGTTAGGGTTAGAAAGGTCACATCTATCCAACCCCCTGCTCAAAGCAGGACCAGCCCCAGCTACATCATCCCAGCCAAGCCAAATCATCATGTTGTGGGGCCACGAGTTATGGCATTGTTTTTCAGATCTATAGGGAGTAAAAGGAAGGCCCAGGGAGGGATAGGACCGCTCCTGAATGGGCAAAAGCAATCGGTGACAGACGGGGGAACAAGGCTGAACTCCTCAATGAGCTCTTTGCCTCCGTGTTCCTAAGCGAGGGGCACGACAAGTCTCACGATGGGATCGTAGAGAGGCAGCAGCAAGGCGCCAGACCACCAAGCGCTGACCCTGAGATGGTGCAGGGTCACTTGGAAGGACTGGATGGGTTTAAGTCGGCAGGCCCGGCCGAGCGCCATCTGAGGGTACCGGAGGCGCTGGCTGATGTCATTGCACGGCCACTGGCAAGAAAATTTGAGCACTCGTGGCGCACGGGTCAGGTCCCGGAGGACTGGATGAGGGCCAATGTTGTCCCTGTTTTCAAGGGGAGGAAGGAGGACCCGGGCAACTATAGGCCAGTCAGTCTCACCTCCATCCTTGGCAAAGTCTTTGAAAAGTTTATTAAGGCTCACATATGTGAGAGCTCAGCTGGAAAAATTATGCTGAGGGGAAACCAGCACGGGTTCGTGGCAGGCAGATCGTGCTTGATTAATCTAGTCTCTTTTTATGACCAGGTTACGAAACGCCTGGACACAGGAGGAGGAGTGGATGTCGTATACTTAGACTTCAGGAAGGCCTTCGATACGGTATCCCACCCCATACTGGTGAACAAGTTAAGAGGCTGTGACTTGGATGACTACACAGTCCGGTGGGTGGTGAATTGGCTGGAGGGTCGCACCCAGAGAGTC